TGGCCGAATGTGTGCAGTTTTGGTTAGATCTTACTTTACATATGCTGATAATTGATTGGTAGAGTTGCCTTTGTACACCGATGGGACTGTTAGAGTAAAGGGTTGATAGAGTAAAGGCGTATTTGAGGAACTTTGAAGGCTCTGGCTTGAAAGGTCATCTTGACTATGATGCCACATTAATCGTTGATGGTGACAAGGTAGCAAAGTACGGACGTTGATTGTACATTCATTAAATATAGTGTGAATTTTGATGATGCGAGTCAGGTCGTTCTACTTTTTGAGACGTGCTGCATTGGTTCGAGTGGAGGATGCTCTTCCTCTTCGAGTTGGACATCTAGCATGGCCCGGGTCGACAGCGTCTTTTGTCTCGGATTTGGATCGCGAGGCAGGTTGGTTGTCTCATCACCCGGGTCGAGCTTACATATGCTTCAGGAGTTGGCTAGCTAGCTACCACGTGACTACTCTTGTTAGGCTTAGTTATTTTCAGGATATAATAGTAACAATCTAGAGAGTTTCTCATGGATCACCACAATAATTGACAGATTTGCCCTTATCATAGTAGTTAGTTAACCGTACGCTATCTAAAAATCACTATAGATAGCTGATACCTATCAAATCACTAATGATGGAAGTTACAACCTAACGACTTTCACATCACCAATCCAATGATAAAAGTTATAATCAGACAACTTTCACGTTAACAGATGAATGCTACAATTGGAAGATTTTTACGTAGATCGAGAAATGTTACAATCTGACAACCTTTACGACAACCGATGAAAGCTCTGATCAACAGACTTCACAACAATAACGGGAGTTACAATCTGACGACTCTCATATTTTAAGGAGCCAATACGGAGATTACAAGATGACGATCTTCGCAAAGCTCTAACAAAAGTCTCTTCAATTCAAGACACAAAGCTTACCTTTGCGTCTCAGAAGCTAGTAGAACTGCGTTCTAGATTTTAGACGCAGAACTCATCTGTGCGTTCCAAGAATAAAACGCAGAGCTCATCTATGCGTTCCAGACTCAAAACGCAGAGCTCATCTCTGCGTTCCAGACTTAAAACGCAGAGCTCATTTCTGCGTTCCAGACTCAAAACGCATGGCTCATCACTGTGTTTTTCAGCCTCAAATGCAGAACCCAACTCTACGTCTCAGCTCCAGAACGCAGAGTTCGTGCCCAGAATGCAACTACTACGTTTGACTCCTTCAAACACGAGCTGAACGACAACCGAAACTTTTCCTCGCTACGAAAAATTCTGATTTCTTGGCGAAAAGGCGAAGAAGAGAAATCAGTACCAGATAAACCCAGTGGTTTCAAAATCATATCCCATGATTTGAGGGGATCACTCCCGCACTTAAGAGCGAATTAAGGCGGCGGTTACACCCCTTAATCCCCTATAAATGACTGAAAAACCAGCTTAAAATGAATCATCTTTTTTAGATCTTCAAATTGGGGGGGGGGGGGGCTCTTTTTGGATCTGGGAGCACTTTTGAATCTTGAAGAGATCGGCATTCACCCTTGGAGATCTGGGATCATTCCTCGACAACAGAGATCTTTAGAGCTTTTCTTCATCTTTGGCTATAAACCGATTTCGGTTAAATCAAATTAACTCTTTAAAAGAGTTTTCAACTCGCCCTGAGTTCTTTAACTCGCTAAGAGTTTCACACTTGTCACGCAAATTCTCCTCAACGTCAACTGAGAGGAAGATAGCGTGTTCCACGAGGTGAAGCGTTCGGATCGTCAACGGGATACAAGGATCTGAACTCCCATCGACACCAAGAAGAACACAGGTTAAACAAAGGGAATGGTCTCCATCGATCCCTTCTCTCTTTTCTAAATCGGGAAATTGATTGAGAGGAATTGTAATTTGTTTTTTTAAGTTTGTTAGAGAGATTGCATTGAGAGAATTGTAATCCATTCTTTTTCTAAGTCTGTTAGAGAAAATAATACAAATTCAATTCTCCATTTTATTCTTTCAAATTTCCCACCAAACATTAGCAAAAGTTGTACATCAATAATAGTATTGAGCACAAGTGGTGAAAAGGCAATTAAAAAGGGAAAATTATTTCTGTTTGCATAGGCGATTGAGACAAGCTTTTATGTGGCGCTTACCAAATTAGTCCTAAGAACCTTGAAGCCCCCCCACCCCTCAACCAATCACAGTAAGCTTGCTAACTTTATGGCATGCACCATTGTTACAAATGTTTCTTTTCAAGTGGGCCTTCGCACTCGCGCCACTTGCACATAGGAAACTATTTGAAATTAACATGCTGACCCCCACCCCCAGTGTAGCAATCCCATTATTGATGTGGTAAAAAAAAAAGAAAAAAAAAAGAACAATGGAAGCAATCATATTCTTATTGTAATGAAATAGTTACAATCAAGGGATGCCGCTAGAATAAGCCACACATTCATTCAAAATAATAAATATATTGCCTTCATATGATTTGACCCCTGCAGGGCCATTTTGTGCTTTCCGTGCTCTCTCTTTTGCCCTCTTTTCGGGAAAGCGAAACAAAAAACATGGGGGAAAGTATCAAATTGAACCTTATACACGAAGACTGGGGAGCTACGTAATAACTGAAAATTACTGATCACGCCCAAGAGAAAAATAGTTAAATATTCTGATTTCAGCGCTAGTGACAGATATTATGCTCAAATCTCTGTTGGGATAGCTTTTGATAATATGTATGTGATTGCAATCTTATCTCTTCCTACAGGGACATAAAATAGTGTCCTTTCACGTAAAAAGGGTAATCACTTTTTGATAGTAGAGACCCATCCCTAATCCTCTGCAAAGATGCATCCAAATTTCTAGTGCAATATATGTACCAAGTTCATTAATCTAAACTTACGTGGATCTACTATCAAAAAGAGAAAAAACAAAAGAGGAAAAAAAATGCGATTTCTATTAAAAAAAAAGAAAGAAAGAACAAAAGAGAAAAAAACGTCTGAAATTTAATTTCCTTGTATTTCTATAAAAATTTGTTGAACAGGTTCATAGATCTCAAAATGCGATCCTTTCTTGTTTTTGCTATTTCTTTGTTTGGTTTAAAATAAGAAAATGAGTTCCAAACTTTATAAAAAATATGTTGTTGTTTTTTTTTCCTATTTTGTTTAGTTGGATATGAAAACTTTATGGAAAAGTGCAACCCATATAAGAATATTTATAATGACTAGTTTAGTACAAATTGATGTTACAAAAATGCTTCTACCCTTAACTTACCGTGAACAAAAAAATTGCCAAGTTAAATAGGCCCACCTTTAGGGAAAAAACATGAGTAAGGAAGGTAGAGATATTGGTGAATCTTCATCCGCACCAACATCAAACGTAAAAATTATGAAATAAAAAACCAACAAAATTATTTTTTCCTAACGTTAAATTACTTTGCTTTTTTGATCTCAGGGTGCTCGTAAACTCACTTTTGAGGAACGGATTTCCTATGCAGATGAAGATCAAGAGCGTAATGAGATGGATGATTTAATTCATGTAGTAGGAAATAATGCTAAGACTTAATGCTTTGGTAGCTAGAGATCAAAATGCCCAAATAGATCCCAAGAAATAGACCAGATCCGAGGAAGTGCTGTAGATATGAACAAGATCAACAACCGAAAGTCCCGAAAAGATCCATCACCAAAACCATGAACGAGTTAAGGTGGAGGAGGTTGATTAAGAACCCGTCGAAGCAAAATGGGGGGCGGGAGAAAAAATTGGCACGAAAAATTTTAGGGGAAAAGAGAATTGGGAGCTAGAGCGAGAGCGAGAGGGCAGCTCAAACCCTACAATACAATTTCCGCTCTTCGTTACCCACGAGTAAACAAATTGGGGACTGGAAATGGGGTACATGTTAATTAAAGTAATTTTTAAATATCAAATGTCAGATTTCTCGCCCATTTCAACCCATCTTGATTGGAAGTTGATTTCTATACAACACCTCATTTTCCCTACTGCATAGAAATCACTTTTATAAAATTTTTTTCTGTGAACCAAATACTGTTTATAGAAATCTACAGAAAACTTCTACTTACGAAAACGCCACCACAGGCAATTTCCCTGAATTTTTTTTCGTTTTGGGCGTTTTTTTCTCTCCCCCCCCAGTCTTCGACCTGCGATGTTTCTTTAATTAGGACGTTCAACATATCGGTAGGGATCATTTGGTGGACCTAACAAGCTACCTTCGATCAACAAACCATCAAATACGACGCTGGCACGTGCCTTCCACCATTAATCAAGAAAGTGAGACGACGACAAGGCGCGGGTGGACAGGAAGGGCCCGCGCGTGGCCAGCGGTCCTGAGAAACGGCCGCGCGCTGCTCTCGTCGTCAACTCATGCCGACAGTTTGATATCTGAGAGAACTTTTGGGTTCGGAGACAACTAGTAAGCAAGCAGTAATGAGAAAGGGACGGCGTACGTGGACGGATCGAGCAGCGAAATGAATTAAACGAGTGGCGAAATCAAGGCCGAGGTGTGAATTAATGCGCCATTTTTCGCAATTCGGGAGCCGGATCTACCTACAGATCCGGCCCCTTAATCCGGTGCAGCTCGTCTTATGTTTTTTTTTTTTTAAGAAGGGAAAAAGGAAAGCAAATTAATGCACACGAGATCCGATACAATTAATCTACTAGCTCCCCTTTTGTGGAAACATCGTTATTGGTACACAGCAAGTTCAGAACTCCAAATTAAAGGGATTAAGGCGGCATAACGGAAGACTATCTACGCTAAATTATGAGGATATTGGCATTAAAGCTTCACCTGCACATCATCCCCATCAGTTCGTGGTTTGGGTCCGTCTCCAGCGTTCCACTGATCCATGCACACGGAGCTACTACTGCGCGTGAAACACAAAACAACCACATGTTGTAATAAAACGAGCCCGGATTCATGACAGATTGACTAAAACCGTCCGCAACGATGAAAGCTGTACGCCAATGCCGTCAAACAGGCTGGCAAGAACCTGTCTGAAACGTCAGGATCGCAATCTGGCAGCGACAGGCCTGATCACCCCGCGCCACCCACCACATCTTCCCATGAAAATCCCACGGGATTTCTCGAATCGGGTTCGTGCAACTGCAACAGAAATTAGTGATAGCAACCGTGAGACAAACGTCGGCCAAATTAGTGACTTACTGGCCTGCGGCACTAACAGAAATAAATTGAAACAATCTGTAGATATCTACAAGAAGCTTATTTGTTTAGAATCTCTCTAAAAAAAACAACTAGACATTAGAGAAATAATAGTCTTTAGACGTCCATAGAATCTGGAAAGTGTACAGACTTCTTTAGAAACTTTAGATGTATGATGAAAATACCTAATATCATAGAGAAAGCAAAAAAAAAACAAGAGCTTTGCTACAGGGACCAAAAATATGGGACCAATAAATAGGACAAGTGAGGTGTCCCCCTCCTATTGGATAATGAGTTGGCCATCATTAATGATGACCAACTCATTATCCAATAGGAGGGGGACACCTCACTTGTCCCCTCTATTGGTCCCATATTTTGGGTACTTAAAGAATTTTTCAAAAAACAATGCCTATAAACAGAAGTCGGGGTTAACCTGCATGGAAAAATAAGTGAATGCAAAGTTTTATAAGTTTCACTTAATTTCCTCTCTACTCAATCTTCCCATACAAAAAAAAAAAAGTTCTCCCACCTAGCTTCCGAATTCCCAGCCTCAACATACTCTTCCAACTTGTAATGAACCCAATTAAATACCAACGTTTCATGACAAATTGTTCCAGAGAACATGAATGGCTTCTAGGATGGAAACAGGAAAAAGCACTAACAGAAACTAGGAGTAAAGACAGAACAACACTTAAGTGGTTTAAAAAAACCAAGAAGAAGAAAATTAGCATGTTATCTACGAAAGGAACCATTTGGATTTGAATTAACTAGTAATATGAAAGCCAGCCGCTTACAAGTACTTCCTGGGTTTAACCGCTATAAATTGGAGGAATATGTTTGCGCGAGAGGATGAACGTATTGGAAGAGTTTCTATAGTCAACAGGCGGTTAATTTAATTAACACGGGTAAACAAGAAATGAATATATCAATCTTTCTCCCATAATTCCTTTGTAAAACTTTACGCAGCGCAAAAGGGTTACCTAAGCCATCTAAGGGAGTCAGCCCCTTGTCCTAAAACCCCAAATCTACATTTAGAGCAAACATTGACCCATTGCTGAACAGGGTTTTGAAACTGCTTGATCATGATCCGAGATGATTTTTCTTTACACGTTCATTCTGATGCTAAATGCAACAATCGACTAATCAAAATATTCGCAATACAGGAAATATTGCTGAGGTTAACTGGCTGTGGGACATTATACTCGGTATTATGATTGTGTGTGATAATATGAATAGAAATATTAAGTTATCAAGCGGAAGTAGAGGCATAAAAAATAAAGCAAAACAACCTTCTTTTCCAAGTCTCTACTGGCTTCCTGCAGGGCATGTTGCTGCACAAAGATAAGACTGCTTAATACCACACTGAAAATGGACTGAATTCAACTAGATGCCATGTGCACTGAAGAAACAAACGAATCAAGTATCAAGTACCTTCCTTTTAAGATCGCACAACTGGTCAAGCATTAACTGCGTCTGCAAAGACATAAGAGAAATGTAGTTCAATATGCTGACACACAATATGGCAACTCTATTCATTAGCTTCTTCTACCGTAAAATAGTAGATAATAGCTAGAGGAAATCTAACAAAAACTAGGCCAGAATCAGGCCCGCCTGAATTTCATCCTAAACTAGTTTTATTTTGGATCAAGGAAGAGGTGGTCCAAATTAGAACTGGTTTAGTGGTTTTTTTTTTTTTTTTTTGGCTTACAAAAACTGGGTCAACTTGCAAAATAAAAAAGTACCCAAAAACTAGGTAAGGTCCAATCCTAGCCAAGTTTTAATGGGTTGCCAAACGCACCTTTGAATTCAGTGTTTCAAGATAAGCTATTTTTTTAGAGCTTTGCTACGGGGACCCATAATATGGGACCAATAAAAGGGACAAGTGAGGTGTCCCCTTCTTATTGGATAATTAGTTAGCCATCATTAATAATGGCTAAGTCATTATCCAATAGGAATGGGACACCTCACTTGTCCCCTTTATTAGTCCCATATTTTGGGTCCTTGAGGAATTTTTTATTTTTTTATGCTAATGTAGGCATCTAAAAGGGGAGATGATTGTTATTCAGTTTACGAGGAGCCACTTCATGCAGCTGAAAAGTGCGCTGGAAATAAGGGCCCTACTACTGACTTGTAAATAAAAATAGCCTACAACTCGTGTGGAATCTTCAACTACATTACTCACATCCTTTTCTAAGTCGTATAGCTGTTGATTATTCTTAGCATTTATAGTTGATACTAAGATTACTGCCGTCTTTAGTACACCGGGATACGAAGTTTACTACATTAGTGTACTTGTAAAACATAAAATAGTAGGTTTTGGTATTATTTGGAAGAAAATATTGGTGTGGCTAAGATATTCTCGAGATCCTGTGGCTTGGAGAGGAGATTGAATGGTTTTTGTGCACAGGGGAGAGGAAGACTGTTGAGTTAATTAGTTAATATTGTAAGGACCTATTTGTAAGAGTACATTAATATAAAAGAGGTACCTCTATGTGAGAGAATGTAACCCTAATTTCCAACCCCAAAGACTACATGGTACCAGAGCTGCTGGAGATCTATGTGGCGACTCCAAAGATCTAGCTGAAGAACTCATCTCCAAAGATAGAGCTCCCCTCAGCCGATTCCAATACTTCTCCCACGAGTTCGTCGGCGGCGTCTCCTAGGGCCTCGCAGAGCTCCGCCTACCGGCCGATATCCTGGCTACTAAAGAGCACCTCCATCCGCATTCCTGCTAACCGGAAGGCCGCTCGTAGCATTCCTGCTAGCTGGCAGCCCATCCTCGCCGCTTGTCCAATTTTTGGCTCGGAATTCCTGTTGGCTGCTGGAAGCCACGCGCCTCGCTCGCACCCCTTGTCCGCTGTATGGTGGTGGTCTGTCGCTAGCTCCAGAGACAACTCCAGTTGAGGAGAAGAAGGAAGAGAATGAGGCGTTGCTGCTACTGGTGGAGCCGCTTCTGGTGGTGGTAGTGATGCCGCTGGTCCAGAGAAGCGATGATGATCTGTCGCCTTCTTGAATGATATCCGATGAAATTCCAGATCTGCAGAGAGGAGTCTCATCCGATTCAGACCCGAGCGAGCAGATATGTTGTGGTTTGAAGGAGTTTTTGGAGTTTGAAAAGCGAGGGGTTTTTAATGCTTTTTTTTTAACAGATCTGTTGTGCTTTTAACTTTTTTTTAAGGGGAAACAAAAACGAGCAGAGATAAGGATAGTAACTATAAAGATGGGAACACCCGTGACTAGTTAGGAATTGAACGAGATTCTAGAGGGGGTGGCCAGGGTATTTCAAACCAAACTAGAGGAGAATCCTAGTAGGTCAGTCGTGGCCGCACCGGAGTCGGCGCAAGTAATGCAGAGGGTAAAGTTGCTACCTAATAACATCAAGCTTGAGAGGACAAGAAACTAGCTAAGTTGGTCTCGGAGGGCACTGCTGAATCTTCGAATCAAAGGACTTGAAAAATATGTGAATGGGGAGTGCACTGAGCCGGAGAATAAGGCGAGTGCTGAGTGGAACACATGGAGTAACACTAATTCTCTGGTGGTTTCTTGGTTGCTGACTTCTGTATCTCCAACCATAACTGGGATGGTGGAGTCTATCTCAAATGCAGCTGATGTCTGGAGGACATTGGAGGATATGTACTCTGGAGCTGGGAGTGTGATGATGATGATGAAGTGGGGAAGAAGATTGATGCTACTACACAAGGGGAGAAGACAGTCCATCAGTATGGAGTAGAGCTACGTCACTTATGGGTGGATTTGGATCACTATGATCCGTTATCACTACAAAACCCGACAGATGTTCTTTTGGAGAGGCAGTATCTTGAGCGCAGGCGTGTAGCTCGCTTTCTCAAGGGTCTGAACCCAAAGTTTAAGGGAAGGAGGGCAGCAATGTGTCACCTGTCATCTCTCCCCTCCTTGGATGAGGCTATTGCATCGATGGAACAAGAGGAGATCAGACAGAAGGTGATGACAAGCGAGGCCTCACCTGCTATCCGCTCGGCATTGGTGGTTCTAAATGCTCACATCAGAGATGATAGAAAGTGCTACAATTATGGAAAAAAAGCATCTCAGCTACAATTACCCTCAACCTCGCAATACTGGTGGTAGCCGAGGGGGCAGAGGACAGAGAGGTGGCCATGCAGGTCGAGGAGGTAGGGAACGTGGAGGATGAGGAGTTGCTCACCTAGCTGTGACAGAGGAGTCTCAGACTACTGCTGGGATGATTGGAGCTGAAATAACAGAGCTGAAGGAACTACGTCAGTTCAAGCTTCAGGCTGAGAGTTCGAATGGTAAGGGACAAGTCACTCATGATCTAGATAACACTACCTACTTTGGTAACTTTGTTGGTTATGCCCATGCAAACAAAGATACACGAGTTCAGGCACTTGCATCCACTAAAACTCATGTTGATTGGATCATAGACTCATGTGCATCTAGCCATGTTACAGGAGCATCTAGTGAGTTTGCATTATATTATCCGAGTAAGCATATGCATCCTAAGACAGTTCAGACAGCTGATGGGACATCCCAACCCATCAGGAGTACTAGCTCGGTCCATTGCACTTCATCTGTTATCTTGTCATCTGTATTGCATGTTCTTTCGTTTCCAGTTAACTTACTCTCTGTTAGCTCTCTCATTGATCAATTAAATTGTATTGTTTTATTTGATCGAGATATGTGTATCTTCTAGGAGAAGGAAACAGGGAGGAGGATTGGGATTGACATCAGGCATGATGGTCTTTGGTACTTGGACAGGGAGACTGCAATGATTGCTCCTGTTGTTAGTGTAGGCGTCAAAAAATACTGAAAGATATCCAAATACAGCTCAAGAGGGAATCATCAAAAAAAGGCAGAAGAACACAAGTCTTGACTGTCTCGCCGTGCGAGACAGACTTGACTGTCTCGCCGCGCGAGACAGTCTTTACTGTCTCGCCGTGCGAGACAGTCTTTACTGTCTCGCGGGCGAGACAGACTTTTACTGTCTCGCCCACGCGAGACAGTCTTTGCTGTCTCGCCCACGCGAGACAGTCTTTGCTGTCTCGTCGTGCGAGACAGAATTTACTGTCTCGCACGTGAGACAGTTTTCAGATGGTCAAAACTACCTTTGCAACTGCCCTACACGTGGCCACTAACTGTTCAAGATGTCTCGCGGGCCGAGACAGCAAACACTGTCTCGCCCGTCGAGACAGCAAAAGCTGTCTCGCGAACCTGTTTTCTGCCAACTGTTCTTGGAGGTTATAAATACCCTCCTAAGGCCATTTTTCCAGGGGGCTGATCATTGTGAGTACTTCAGAGCAATCCAGAGCAATCCAGGGCAGAGAGAGAGCAGAGGTGCTGATCTTACGGCCAATCCTTGATAATCAGGCTTTGACTTGATTTCAAGAAGAACGACTATCTTACATCGATAAGATATCGTTTCAATTTCTCACTTCGATAAACGAAGTCAGAATCATAAACCCCTCACGGTTCAATCAGAATCTGTGATTTGGTGGTCCACGAGTCAAAGCGCTCCCGGCACAGGCAAAGATCCCACGAAAGCAGTGATCCAAACAACGATCCTGCGTTTATTTTCTCAAGAGTTGTAATTTTCTTTTTGTTGTGTAAAAGAGTCTTATAAAAAGGCTGTTTTCTTTGAATTTATTGTAATCGACCGAAGATATAATGAATTCGACAACAAATTCGACTTTTGGCGAAAACAAACTGGCGACCACAGTGGGAGCCAACGGTCTCGCTGCCGAGACCGTCGTGTCGCAGCCGATCAAGATTCCAGTTGAATCCATGGTCGAATACGAATTCGACCAAACCAAGTTTGAGGAATATCTCTCATCATCCTCTCGCAAATACAAGAGGATTTCACAATTGAGGAAGACTTATATGCCAAAGAAGGCACAAAATGAAGACTCTCGCTTGATTGTTGCTGAGAATTTCACTCGCAACACCTCTGCTCAAAATGGCTCTTATCTAATTGAAGAGTCATCGAATCAAAGCCCGACGACATTGACGAAAAGAGCTCGTCAGAGACAGCGTCAGCGTCGTGCTCGTCAAATAGCTAAGGCATTTGAACAAACCGACGGAGTTCGTTATTATGCGGACTTAGAGTCGAGGAAACAACAAGTGGTTCGCTCAACGCAAAGACAAACTACTCACGTTTCTGCACAATTCACAACGGATGAATGGACTATTGTCAAAAAGACTTGTTCGACCCTCAAAGAACGTATACAAAAATCAATTCACAACGGATGAATGGACTATTGTCAAAAAGACTTGTTCGACCCTCAAAGAACGTATACAAAAACGTCGTGCAAAAGTTGCTAATGCCCATTCTCTCTCACAACAAAGACGAGAAAAGAGGAAGGAAATGGTGACCAAAGAATCACCAAAACTTCGTCAAGTTTGGATTCCAAAGTCTGGACTTATGCAAAATCAGCATTCGGAGCCCGTTAAGACCCCATACCCGCAAATGGGTGGTTTCAGAC